TATTTTTTACTTCCTAAAAACCTTTCATATGATTTTTCAAAACACCTCTAATTTTAAGGGTATTTTTGTAAGTACCCCTAAAAAAATTATAAGCTTTGCCAAACATGGTCAAATTTAATAATCGCTTATAAATCTTGGATCCAAGACACTCAAAGTTGTAGCTCTTATTGAACCCTTGTTTGGTAGAATTTTTTTTAGCAAATAAATTTTGTGAAAAATAATTTTTTTAGTATGTATGATTAAAAATTACAAAAAATATATGAATCGACTCGGGAAATTATATTATTAGGAGAATACGTGGTTGGAAATGAGTTTATGAAAAAATGAAATTTGAAAAAATGGAAGCCAAACATGAGCTAAATGTTGAATAAAAATAAGTTTTACCACCCTATAATAATTAAGTTTTGACAAACATGCACTAAACAGCACATAGAATGTTTGAATTCTGATAATGCTCTATAATACACGATACTCTAAATTATATTTTCATCAGTTATAATAATGTCAACTAAGGAAAACTGTAGAGGATCAATGTTTGAGAGATCCTCCGTCTCCGCCGCCTCCTCCTCATATTACAGTATGGCTGTCGTCAAGATTTTACTGATGACAGAGGATGACGGACGGCTGCAGGAACAAGAACAAGCACAAGGTGATAATTTATGTGGAATCATATTATACTTTGTAAGTTTACCTGTTGCAATCAATCAACATTTTCTGGCTTGAATAGTCACTGCATTTTTTCTTATATTACAATTTGTACACCTTTGTGATGAATTTGTATTCAATAGGCTATAATCAGCAGAGTATTTGGTGCAGAATATGCTTCTGTGCCAATTTTTGTAATGATAGATTTGCATTAAAACCAGAGTTTTTTGTGATATTTTCTCTATTGTACTGCTTTTTATGACCTAAGCGGCTAAGCCAACATTCTTTATTGTAAGGAATGAAATTTCAAGCCTCCTCTCTGTTCTTAACTATAATGTCTTTTTCATATGTTGTTAAAGCAGGTTTGGTCTCAAGAATTTTTATGCACGGAAATGTTTTGTTCCCACCTGTCTACAGTTGTTTAATGAAACAGTTGATTTTTTCCAGGGCAATATTTTATTAAGGAGTAAGTTTCCAGAATAAATTATTGATTCCTTCACATTGGTTACAACTTACAAAGCTACCCCATCTGCCTCGGTGGGATTAATACTTTGAGCTTTTTGCCTTCTCACTGGTTCTTCAAACTCTATCGATCACCATGAGCAACGGTCTACTAGGATTTTTCATCGTATTTAACTTCTTTTTATCGATTTCCCTTGCATAGCAGAATTACTCAGAAAATCTTGTTCTGCAATGCAACAACACTGATGCAACAGGACCATCTTCGGCTTTTCTTTATACCTGCAATGGTGCAAAGTCTTCCTGCAAGGCTTTCTTACTTTTCAGAACAAAACCTCCTTATGTTACAGTCTCCTCCATCTCTAATCTTACATCTTCAGATCCATTGGAATTTGCACACCTGAATAATATCTCAAATTCAGACATTTTGCCTTCGGACCAAGACATTGTAGTTCCTAATCTATAACTTGTTCGTGTTCTGGTCAATACTATCAGGCCAACACATCTTATGTTTCTCGAGTTTTTGATAACACCTATTTCACAATCGCAAACAACACATATCAGGGGCTAACCACTTGCAATGCACTTATGCGAGAGAATCCAATTGGTGAATTGGATTTGTATCCGGTTTTGAAATTGCAAGTACCCCTTAGATGCGCTTGTCCTACAAATGAACAGATTGTAAATGGCACCAAGTTTCTATTAACATACTTGGTCACTTGGAAAGATAAAGTTCCAGAGATTAGTCATCGGTTCAATGTTAGCAGCAGAAGTTTAGCAGACGCCAATGGTTTTCCTGATGAAAATTCACTTATTTATCCCTTCACAACTATATTGATCCCTCTTCCAACAGAACCCTTGAGCACTCAAATCAGAACTTACCACCAAACGTTTCTTTCTAATCCAAGTCCTAGTACTCCACAGAAAAAGCACAAAAGATTCTCTAAAGCACTTCGTGTTGGGATAGGAACTGCTGCTTCTTTAGCAGTTTTCTGTTTTGTGCTGTGTGTTTCTTCTATCACGGAAAAAAACAGATCAAATAAAGTATCTTCAAATGGTAGGCAGGGGAAAAAGCTGTGGAAATTACAGGAGCGTATCCTAGATGAAGTTGCTGGAATCAAGGAAATGCTGAAAATATATTCATTAGAGGAATTAGAGGCAGCTACTGGAAAGTGGAAACTTCAGTGCACTGAAGAAGCTGAGTAATTCTGTTCATCGTAGTGTTCTTCGTGGAAAATCAGTAGCCATAAAAAAGACGAGCACAGATGTGACAAAGGAGATTGAAATTCTTAGTAAGATCAGTCACTTTAATTTGATTAGTCTATATGGTGTTTGTGAACAGGACGAAGATTTCTAAGAACACATACTCAAGTACCTTTTAGGATCTTTAAATGAATGGCTCCATAAAGAGAACTGTTCACATGTTCAGAGCTGGAATTACTTGATTCGTATCGCTTCAGATGTCGCTAATGGGCTACATTATCTTCACAACTTTACTGCTCCAGCATATGTGCACAAGGACATTAACAGTTGCAACATATTGCTCAATGGAGATCTAAGGGCCAAGATTGCGAATTTCAGTCATGCAAGATTAGCACAGAGGGAGAGAAATGGAAATTCGATTACAAGCTGTGTTCTTGGAGCAAAAGGTTATATGGCACCTGAGTATCTACGAGATGGAAACGTGACTCCAAAAATTGATGTATATGCCTTCGGGTTTGTTCTATTAGAACTGATTACTGGTAAAGAGGCTGTCTTCGTGGAGAATGGAGTAGAAGTTTTTCTGTCAGAAACAATAATGTCAACCATGGGCGGAATAAATGCAAATGCTGAGATTAAGGACCTAATGGACCCTCGCCTCCAAGTAAAGAATTCTCTTGGTTTTATCGTAGATCAAACCGAACTTGCAGTTCGCTTGGTGAAATTAAGTGTTGTTTGCTTGGCCCAAGAACCAGAAAACAGATTGAGCATGGCTGAAGTAGTTTCAGCTTTGATGAAAATCCAATTAGATGTCCAGAACTCGGAATCCTATTCTATTGAAGTCGAGCTACACTAATGTGTTTATATCAGATTTTTGTAGTTCAAACCTCTGTAATTGAGCAAACAACACTATAGTCAACAAAGATTGTAATGGCTGATTTTTCTATTCACGGATGAAAAATTTGTACATCAACATTATACAAAGATAAATAAAGCATTAAATTGTGTATCGCTCTCTGCATTTTTAGTATTTCCATATTACAAGATTAGAAAAGATACACTTGCAAACTTCCGAATTCTGCTGATATCATAATACGCTGAATCAACGAGCTATGACTGGACTAATGACAGGCAAAACATCCTCAACTTCAAATTTTGAGGTCCAAGAATTCTCGTACGTCTCAGGAGACGATTGAGTTAGAACGCATAGGTTGAAGACGATTTCTGTCATTCCTGGTCTCTCGGAGGATTAATCTGATGTGCGCATTTTGCCAAGGTTGCCAAGCTTAGAGCGCCTTCAGTGGGGTATGAGTTCTTTAAGTATGGATCCATCCACATCCTTAGCTTCTCTTCTCTGTGATCATCATCTTTCAAGATTCCTTTTATTTCTTTCCATAACATCACAACTACACCATTATCTTTGGCTTCCATAACTTTCTTGCCTGAAAGTAACTCGAGCAGAACAACTTGAAAAGCTAACACATTGACCTTTAGCATCATAGAGCAAGTCGCAGGCCTGGCTGTGGAGAAATTTGAAATTTTTGCTTTAAAAGTGGAATCAAGGAGTATGTTGCTCGTTTTGATATCCTTATGGATAACACTAGGTTGAGTATGCTCGTGCATGTACTGGATACCATTTTCGACATCTAGGATAATAAATAACCTCTGGCTCCATGTGACGTATTCCCCTGTACCTGAAGTCGTCAAATGTTTTGGGGAAAGCCATTTATCCAGCAATGCATTTTCAGCATATTCAAAAACTACGAAGAATTCCCATCATTGCCTGAGGAAACACCCATTAACTTCACCAAAATCGTACGATTTACTTTCTGTAGTATTTGCAGCTCCTCCATGGCATCTCGTGTTTTCTTTACTGCTAAAACCTAATCATTGATCATCACCTTGTAGACAGATCCTCCAATTCGACATCATTCATTTAGGTTCATAGTTGCCTCCATAATCACCTGAAGTTCTTACATTATCAGCTTGCCAAGTTATCCAAAAACTCCAGGAAGCAGCTTATCCTGAATGGCCTTCTGTTCAAATACTTCATCTTTAGAAACTTTCTTGGTTGGAATCAGATCAGATGTTTGCAATGAAGAACTATTCCGAGCCAATGCTCTTTTTTTCTTGTGTAAATGGTGTACATATGCCGATACACCAGATAAAGCAATAAAAAATGCCACTACACTACTACAGTACTTAAAATTGCAATGAGTCAATGATGTTTCGATTTCTTCCCAATGGCAAAAGGAGGAAAATGTTGCTGTCGAATAGGAGACGACTTGACTGGGATCAAAACAGGAAGAAAAATTGCAGCAGTAAAGTTCTTGTTAATGTTTTCTACTACAATATCCGATACTTTTGCCTGAAACATGTTACTTACAGACAGGAAATCATCACCTGGTTGCCATACACAGGTGACAAGGTATTTAATCCCCGTCTGAATAAGAATATCCAGCGCAATTACAGAGCAAGGGAAGAAGACCACTTGCTCCCCAATTGTCAAGTTGTTCAGTTTCAATGTGGGATTCATGTCTATCACAACTTGATAATTGGTCGTTGGAATTAATTAATAAAGTGTTAAATAATTAAAGGGAAAAATTCATAAATAAGGTGTATTCTTTACACCAATTCAAAAATAAGGTTTATAGTTTGAAACTTCAAAAATCAGGTTTTTT